TCTGCTGTCTTACGGGCGAATTGCCTTTAAGACACGAAATTTCTAGGTGACTTTACCTTACCATATAAATCTACTCTATACAGAGAGGACTCTGCCCAAGTTTGAAGCTCATAAAACTGCTGGCGACCCTATAGCGTGACGTTACGCTACAGTACGAATTTCGGTAAATTCTCGCACCAGTCTGTCTAGTTGTGGTGACTTCATGGTACCGGAACATTTAAAACTGTCAGGTGCGCGTCATAAGCGGAGAAGAAGTACGGAGCATCCATGGAAACATGACGACATTTTGCCCGAGCACGTGTCGAGAACCCCATGGCATGTCGTGGCGTCAGGGTGCAGAAGGACCGAAACTACATTTATGAACCAAACTAGACCTTTAGAAACGTTGCAATTGATCTATACAGCGCACTTCATACTTTACAATGCATTTTGTGCGTTCTTTTGAAGGCTCGGCATTTTTATTGACGAGCAAAACAAAACCAACACAACTCAAGGAGCTCGTATCAGTGCCCCTTTAAGAATAACGATTATGCATCCCGTCTTAACCACGTCAATTTACGCTTAGAAAAATGTATCTCAATGGTAACCCTGCGTTATGTGAGTCAAGAGTCTAACAGTAGGCAAGCCGGTTCTAATTTACTCTAATCTTCTTTTTTTCTTCAGTTTACATATATGCACTGTATACATGGCGACACTTCTTAAATCTTCTGCTTTCCGCAGCACTCTTAGTTGCTGTTTTTGCAACAAACGTGTGTTTTGTACAAATGTGCAGGTCAGGGATACATGAGTGTGGTTGTGCGCACTAACGTTCGACGGGTAACCTGAGACCCACCCATTGTAGCTTTGAACGTCATAATGAAGACCTACAGGGAAAGACGAAAAAAAGAGTAGTATGTGTGACACCTCTCCAGTAGTTCTGAACTGTTTTTTATAGGAACACGTTAACTCTCTCGTGGGTCACGTGACTCTGCGAAGAGAGTTCAAGGACACCCGAAGAGTGTTGACGTGCATATAGAGTGAAATACGTGGCAGGTGAGGACTACCCGAAAAGTGTCACACAATCTCTGTTTTCTTTCTTGAGTGTATGTGGTTAGAGTACATGACGAATTGAAGCAAGCGCACAAACATGGGCAACAGAAATCAGCATTTGTGTTGGCTTCCTCTCATAGCTTGTGTCCGTGCCTGCATCCTACATTTCATCATGAATTCGTAACAACCAGTCTAGCATTCGTCCATTCTAGGCTTCATGAAGGTAATGATGCACTGCAGAGGTGCACAATAGACCGAAAAAAAAATCAAACAGACACTAAGCAGTCACGAAACTTGCGTTTCATTGTTATGGCTTTATTTTTTTCTCTTTGTCTTCCTTTCATACATATCGCTGCTTTGCCCAAAGGCGTTAAAGCATGGGTAACAAAGTTGAAAAAAGGTGAATCTTCGTTGTCACTAGACACTTGCTCAGACATGAGACTATTCAATTGATTATTAGTTTTCATAGCAAACATTCTGAGCTATTTTTCGTGCTCTTCTATACTTACCTTAGCAGTTCTGCTTCTTTTCCTTCTTTAATTCTTATTCACTTGTTCTGTGCTGGGAGTATGTCGCCGTTTTCTAGGAACCGATTTTTCTTTGTTGAAGCTCAGCTTCTGTGTGGCTTAAACGGTGTTTTTTTTTTTGTTATCTTAATCCCGTCTTTTGCTTATTTGTTTCAATGCCTATATTCTTTTACGCGTCAGTGTGTCTACACTGAGTGTGACAGGCTGCCCTAAACGCTTACAAGTAAAGCTATTTGTATGTTACAGTAACATATAATCAAGAGTCGGACGGAATCCCGTCTGGTCGGGGACAAACATAGTGCAAAGTAACAAAACGCCGACCAATGTAAAATACACAAAAATTTAAAAAAGACGTTTCGGCTCCCGTGTGGGGAGCCGAAACGTCTTTTTAAGTTTTGTGTATTTCACCTTGGTCGGCGTTTTTGTTATTTTGCCTTACAGTAACATAATATGAACGACCATGTGTCACCTTGATATTTTTATCCCGTTTTGGTCAAAATGTGTAACTGCTCCTCCCAGCGGCACATTGTACGAAACAGTCATCGCTCTAAGCGTACTCGGGACGTGAAAAGCACATCGAGGGCACTGCAAAAACTAAAGCCAGTCAGGGACTCAACCGAATGTGGCCGGCGCAGGCCGGATGATCTGCTACTTTAGTGACACGTACGCATACACTTTAAGGATATTATCCGCGGCCGGCGCAGGCCGGATAATCTGCTACTCTAGTGGCACGTACGCATACACTTTAAGGATATTATCCGTGTACCTTGACGTACGTTGCCTTCTCAAATGGCTACTCTTCCGTAAGCTGTTCTCGACTACGGGAAAATAGGGAAGAGATACCTGTACATAATCCACCCACGTGGCTTCATTGAGGCGCCTGCGTCTAATATTGATCACTGCACGTGCAGCCAGAACATTGCATGATGGCACCCGTAGAGCTATGCAGAACCGACGACGGAGAATTTCGTATGTCACGATAATGTACAATGATACCACAAAATGATAAGAAAAAAGTAAAGATCCAGGAAATGAACGATCGTTGAATAGATGTAACGACCATACGGTTGTGTAATGCACCTAGTCAAACCAGCAAACCACGTAGTGAATCCTAAACATGAAAGCATTACCATTGTCTAATAGTACTGGGTAACGGAGTCGTGGTAAGTACACCAGCGTAGCCATACAGCATCGCGGAAACCCTCTACCGAGGCTTCACGACGCCATTAGCGCTCGTATACGTGTGAGGCGACAGGTTCAGAAGTAGACGACTATTCGGGGTGTGCGGCTTCGGCAAATGATTGGTTGTCACGCGCATCCGGTGGCTTGGATACAGCCACAATACTAGCCATGCCGAGGCCAGTCGATCGGCCCTTCCGGTGTCTGGACAGAAGGGACTGCGGCATTTGCGTCGCCGCTCCCACTAAACCGTGTCATCACCGACATTAAACAACGCATGTGAGCGATATTTATGATGGTTGGCCGTGCCTTTGCTTGACGTCCATTTTTCTGTCGCAGACCACTCGAGCTCGGGAAGTGGACTCACGACAGGACAGGGCACACCACGTTGCAAGCCACATTGCATGGTCGTGGGGGCTTGTGAGACGTTAGTGTAGAAGGTTCTCTTTTTTTTCATATTTAAATAAAAATATAAGAGAATACAGTTGGCGTTCAACATTACCTTTTCTCCCTGCAGATTCGCTAGATTGTTTGTGAATCACCAAGGAGTTTTTCGTATTATTCATTGTAATGGTGGTGTGTATTGCATGGCCGTACTACAGATTTTAAAATCACACTAATAAATTTTATAAGCGTGGAAAGAGAGTGTGTGATTGATTGATATGTGGGGTATAACGTCCCAAACCACCATGTGATTATCAGAGACACCGTAGTGGAGAGTAGAGGGCTCCGAAAATTTCGACCGCCTAGTGTTCTTTAACGTGTACCTAATCTGAGCACACGGGCCTACAGCATTTCCGCCTCCATCGAAAATGCAGCCGGGATTTGATCCCACGACCTGTGGGTCATCAGCCGAGTACCTTAGCCACTAGACCACCGCGGCGGGGCAAATGTGTGTGTGTGTGTGTGTGTGTGTGTGTGTGTGTGTGTGTGTGTGTGTGTGTGTGTGTGTGTGGTGTGTGCGTGTGTGTGCGTGTGTGTGTGTGCGTGTGTGTGTCTGCGTGTGTGTGTGGGGGGGGGGGGGGGTGTTGGGGTGGTGTGGGGGGTATCTTCTTCTTGCTGAAACAAGCTAGTGCACTAGAATTCACATTGTCTTTCTACCAGTCGCTTCCTGAAATCATCAAAAAAAAATTCACGGTGTCTGTGAGGGCCAACGTTGCTCACAATTGGCAAAAAAAGAAGTACATTACCTTCTGAGGAAGTCAGAGGTTTAACTTCCCAAGCTTCAGAAAATTTTGTTGGCCTTATGTCGCCAAAATACGAGGAATAAGACTTTGAAACCCTTGAAATCACGCACGGAGAGATTGGTCTGCAATTTAAAAATGAAACACTGAACTTTATTTCATCCCATATTGAAAAACTTATGATGCTTGAATTAACATTTTTAGATTTAGCAGAGCGCAATTTATCAACCTAAACCAATTCATTGTTTTCTTTTAGTGTCTCTTCAATTTTACGATAACTTTACGAGAATATAGATTTTAGTTGCATTTATCGGAAGTACTTTGAAATTGTTTTCTGCATTTGCTTCGTATTCGGGCGTATATGGCCTCATTAATCTCAATGACTGTTTTTTTTGTTTTGTTTTATTTTTTATGGCGGACACTTATGTACAAATAATCCGCTCAGTGAGCGACTTCTTCATCAATTAACAACAAAAACACGATCGCAAGCGTGCATCATTAGGGTCTGTCATGCAAACAACTCTGACAGGGAAAAGACAAGGTCAAGAAAATTTAAAGTCGCAAACAAACACTGCGCACACAACAGTCCCATTAACAAGCACGCCCATGTAAAAACAATAATGCTTGTCTAAACACAGGCGTCAGCCATCGTAATCCTGATTTCCTTATTCGTGGTTGTCCGTACTGGGAGATTGAAAAGCAACTCTCATCACATATTGTAGATTGTATTGTAGTGACATCCATATATGTAGATAAACTTCATAAATAAAACAATCAATGACCTGGTTCTAAAGTACCTCAAAACAAACTCGAAGATTGAATAAACCGCATGGCCTCGAAAGAGAGAGAGATTAAGGTGAATGTAATAACGTCAACCATTACAAATATTCGGCTTGCTACCCCACACTAGGAGGGAGAAAGCTAGAAAGGTCATAAGAAAGGAGACAGGCAAAACCCGGGCCCATCCACACAATCGCGACTCTTCCCAGCGCTAAATGACAAGTGCCAGCACTGTTGTCACAAGTCATGTTGTTATGTTGTGACAGGTTGCATGTGATTTTACAAGTTATGTGATTTGCAG